GTGCCCCTGAGAGCTAGGTGTGGGGCAGGTGTGGTGCTCTACAGGTGGACCAGGTTCCCCGTGCCCCTGAGAGCTTTGTCCCCCATACTGTGTCCTGGGTACATTGCCACGCTGTGCATGCGTCTTGACTTCTCTGGTGTACTCCCCTGAGACTTTGTCACACACCCCTGACACACTCACTCATACTTGCTTACACTCACATGCACACACCCCACCTTTTGGGTGGGCTGTCACGGAATTCGGGCTGAGCTATAGGTATCAATGACCTCCAATGAAATCGGCCTTGGTCTTGCAGCCCCTGGTGGTCAGATGACCTGACTTAGGGCACCATGATGTCAACCAGCCTCCGCCGGATGGTGATCCTCAGGGCAGAGGCCTCTGAGCACCCCGAGGCCTGGTCAGGGAAAGTCCCTGGAGTCTCCAGACCCTGTTCCCTCTGGTGGTGGCAGCCTCTTCCCCAGGAGGCTGTGCCGCCCTTCACCATGAGGGCACAGCTAAGCATGGCGGTTGCCAGAAGTCCTGTGACTGTGTTGGTTGGATCACTAGGGCACACTCCCTATCTTGGCAGTGTTGATTCAGAGCACTGCAGAGAGAGAATCTGATCAGAGACAGGCACAACAATGAATCACCTGAAGGCACATTCAGTGCGAGGCCCAGGAGGCAGATGGTGACATCAGGGGTCACCCCCCTCCACAGCACCCCAAACCCCCATTCAAAAAAGCCGATCCTCCACCTTCCAAGTGGCTCTGGGTGAGGTGCAGGCACACACACACACACCATGAGTGCACAGAGGCACATACACATGCCTGCTCATGCATGCACACACGCCCACATGTAGGTGCTTGCACTCAGGCACACTGTGCGCACAGACGCAGTCATGCAGGTGCACACACCTGCCCACACACCTCATGCACCACAGTGTGCTCCCTGTGGAAGAGACAGGTGGGATGTGGGTCAGACTCCGGGCTCCCCAACAGGATGTGGGTTGTGCTCCAAAACCTTTCTGGGGTCATCCTGGCTCCCCCCGTTCCACTGCCCTCTGGCCACCTGAAGTGTCCTGCCTCTAGCCTACCCACCAAGCTTCAGAATATCCAGAGCTTGGGCCCCAAGGTGCACCTGACTTCTTGCTGTGGACACACCTTCTGATTGAATTTCCAACCAACTCCTGACCGTGAGGGGTGAGAGCTGGGGTGGAGGTAAATCCCGCCTCACCTCCCGCGTCCCCTGCAGCAACTACCACAGTTGCTGGTCAAGGTGAAGACCTCAGTCCACCCATGTGTGGTGCCTGATGTCACCTTCTGGAGATGTCCGTCCTTCAGCCCTCCGTGGGCATCCCTCAGAGCCAGCATCTGCCCTAGTTCCTGCGGCAGCTGCAGGACATGCTACAGGCAGACAGGCCCAGTCCACCTGGCCTGTGCCCTGTCCCCTGGGATCTCATGACCCACTCTTCACAGTCAGGAGTGCTGCTGTAAGGAAGGGCAGCTCCTGGATTCAGTGGGTTTCCCCTTCTGTTGGTGGGATTGTACCCCATTGGTGACAGTTCCTGAATGTCTGGCCAGGCGGTCCCCAAGTCCACTCCACTGTGTGATCCAGTGTGTTGAGTACAACTCTGCTCACCTGGTGTCCCTGGCCCTGGAGCTCCGTGGAGAGCTCAGAGCCCCAGGGCCTGCTTCCCACAGCACTGGGGGACCTGCAGATGGGGGCACCCCACATGAGAACCCTTCCCCAGCTCTCCTCTTGGGCAGCACTTTAGACCTCAGGTAGGGTAGCACCTTTGATTCATGGAGGCCAGTGCTCCCAAGCACCAGGGACCCTCAGGAGCATCCTGGAGACCTTTCAGTCCCCATCCCACTGCCAAGTGACCACCTCCCACAGGTCCCAACTCTGTGGCTACATGGTCTTGTCCCTGGGCCCTGCCGCAGCAGCCGCCTCCTCCTGCCTCAGCTGCCTCCTCTCACCTCCTCGTTCCCCTTTGCCGTCGACCTAGTGGCCACAAGCCAGCAGGACAGCCACTGACCACGCATGGCCTTCAGCTCTAAAGTGAAATGTGATGCCCGTGCTCTGTGGGGCTCTGTTTCAGAGCACCTGTGGCCAGGGGCTCTGTGTGAGTGGCCATGGTCTGTGGCATGGCCATCTCAACAGCCACCACCGTCACCGTTGGAGGTGTTGCCAGAGCTTGCCCTCCTGGCCCCTTCCCCCAGAGGAGAGCCACTGCCGTCACCTGCTGGAGACACTGGTGTCCTGCTGCAGCGGAGCGGTGGAGATGTGGGTTGGCCTGGGCAGCCCTTCCCGCTGGCCCCTCCCCAGCCCAGGCTGCCCCGCCAGCGACTGTCCTGCTGGTGGCAGGTGGGAGCCTCCAGGGTGGAGAGGAGTCACCGCAGCCTCTGCAGGTGTGGCTATGGGGGCACACGGCCTTTCTCCTCAGTCTGTTTCTTCTTTGGGCTGGTGCACAGCTGGTCTGGGCGGCACGGGCAGAAGGGCAGGGTTCAGGCCCTGTGAGTCTGTGGACAGGTCTTAGGAGGCCTTCCTTGGGGTGATGGTGCGTCCGGGGGGCTGCGAACGAGTGCGGGGCAGACAGCCAGAGGGCTGGACGGCCCGTCAGGCTCCTGCACACAGTGAGGCCTCTGATTCTTTGGCCACTTCTAATTGGAAAGAAAGGTGGTATTCAGCCCGTTCGCTGCCCAGGGACTGTGGGCTTAGTGCTCTCCTTCTCAGGGAATTCTCCTCTCCCGCCTTGTCAGCCAGAGAGTATAGCATCACCTCAGCGCACGGGGTGTCCGAGGCCCCTGGGCCCTCTCCCACCCTACAGTCTGCCGACTGGCACTCCCCCCAGTGCCTGGCCAGGCAGGGCCCACAGAAGGGCCTCAAGGCTGGAGACCCTGCACAGCTCTGCATGAGTGACATATGCCTTCCAGGGAGGGACCAGGGAGGGAACTTCTCTGTAGCCTTGTGGCTTCCGGGCCCTGTGTATGGGGCCCCACCACATGGCCCGTGCCCTTCCTGGGCAAGCCCTCCCTGGCCTCCCCTCCGGCTCCTTTCTTCCAGGAGACGAAGCTCAGTGCCCACCAGGGTACGGCTCCCTGTGCCCCTGTGCTGGAATCCCTGGTCTCTGACCTCCCACTGAGGACCTGGGCCCTGGGCTGTGGCTGCCAGGCCCCGGCTAGTTCCCCACTCTTGCTGTCTGGCTTTGGGGCGCAGGTTTCTCTGTGCCTCAGTATCTCCCCCTGTCAATGGTGAAGACACCTGAGGGAGTCTGTGCAGGGCTGACGGCCTCCCTCACTGTTGTCACCAAGGGGCTTGGAGATGTTGACCTTGGCTGAATGTCTCCCTCCACGAAGCCCCTGCCTAACCCCCATCTCTGGATGAAGTGGGTCCCCCTCCTCCCCATTGGGTCCTGCAGCAAATGCAGCGGGACAGGCCTTGGGAAATGTGAAGCCCCAGCGTCCACCCCCATGTCTGGCTGCCCTGTGCCTGTGGCTCCTGCCCACCACCACCACACCAGACCTGAGGCCGGCAGAGCTGGAGGAGATGGGCCTTAGAGGCCAGAGCAGGGAGGGGGTCTGTCCTGACTCCATTGCTCCACGGACCCTCCCAGTGGAACCAGCCGGGCCCCAGGCTGTTGAGCCACCAGCAGCAGAGGAGCTATTTTGAGTAAAGCTCATGTTTATTCATGTGTCACTGAGCCAAACTGCCCTCCGCACGTGCAGCCCACACCACCAGCCTGGCGTGAGCAGTCACAGGGTGGACCGTGCTTCATGCCCCACAGTCAGGGCGTCATATCCGGGCATCAGAGGATCTTCACAGAGTGCCGCATGCAGAGCACCCCACGGCCTGCACGTTCGAGCGTCCTATGGAGCTGTTTCCCCAACTCCCGTAAGCGGCTGGCTTGGGCATGTTCAGAGACGTGGGAATTAGCAATTCGAGTCGGTGCCTTCTGCCGGCCTGCCTTCTTCCTTCCTGCTGTGGATTGGCTGCGCCGGCAGCTGCTGGCACCACACAATTGGCTTGGTGAGAAGTCACAACGGAGGCAGAGCTCCCACACTGTGACTCAGGCTCCTGCCGGGCGGAGCGGAGGGCCGGGAGGCGCTGCACCAGGAACGCTGTCCTCTTCGCCACCGATGCTGCTGCAGAGGGCAAGTGCCCGCATCGCACTCCCGGCAGAGGCCCTCGAGCCTCCCGAAGCCTCAGGGCTTTTCTCCCAAGGTCCCAGTGGTGCTGTTGGGAGTGACTGTTTAACGTGGACCGACACAGGGACCTCTGATGCTAGGACGCGTGGGATGTACAGGTCCTAAAACTTGCTTTGAGGGTTTCGTCAGCTGGCCACCCAGGAAAAGACGATGACCAGCTCTTATGGGCCCTAAAGCGCCCAGCCCCAGGAAGATGGCTGTGCGTGTGCTTGAGCTGACACGTCTGTGTCAGGCAGGAGGCGCCAACACTGTCCTTTGCAGACGGGAGCGAGTGTGGGAGAGTGCAGACGGGCTGCACGGGCCCCTGGACACCGGCGCCCTGCCGCAGGCCCCCTGGCATGCACTTGACCCTGCCGCGGCAGTGGCTCAGGATTCTAGGAGGGTCACTCGCTGTGAGGCTCCCGGGAGGCTACGTGGGCAGCGAGGCTCCCGCCTGCTCTCGCTAACTGCAGCTGTCTCTCCTCTCAGCCTACAGGATGCAGGCATTGGATTCATCCTGGTGATAGACCGAAGGCAGGACAAATGGACCTCCGTGAAGGCGTCGGTCCTGCGGATAGCCGTAAGTGCTCTGCCTCAGTCCTGGCCAGGGGCCAGCACCCTGCCCTCTGCCGTCCATGCTCTGATGCTTGGTGAAGTGGGAGGGCTCAGCAGTGGGTGGCTGGCTAGCAGGTCCAGCACAGAGTGGGCTGAGCCAGCACTGAGCCCACAAGGGCTCCAGAGATGCCGGGTGTGTGTGTGTGTGTGTGTGTGTGTGTGTGTGTGTGTGTCTTCTTTCTCAAATGGCTTGCTCTTAGGGGCTTTTTTAGAATTGCACCAACTCGTAAGTGGAGCACAAGAGTCCTGAACAGGCAGATGGCTGAGTGCCACAGCCTGCAGGACAGAAGTTGGAGAGTGTACTGACCTCTTTCCAGGTGACTCCTTCCAACCAGGCTCTTGGTCCCTTAGCTCACACACCAAAGGCCTTAGCTTTCCTCAGCAGCCCACCCTGCACTTGGGGGACCACCTTCACTCCAGGGCTCACAGGCAGGTTCTGAGAGCTCCCTCCACAGCAGAGAAGCCTGTAGCAGGCTTTCTAGAGGCACAGACAGAGTCGAGAAAGCCCCTGGGTCGTGTTTCCCACCACTGCTCCCCGCCACCACCCACCAGCTCAGTTCGGGTACTTCTTCTGAGCTGAGTCCACCCACACCACTTTTCACAGCTGCAAGGGACCCAAAAAGTTTGGTTGTCTGCCAGCAGGGTGCCCAGAGCAGGCTCCCAGGCCTCTCCAGAGGCCTGTGCTCTCTGGGTCCAACCCTCCTGGCACCCCGCTCTGGGTTTCGCATCCACGACATCCGTGGTGCTGGCCTCGTGGGCTGCCGCGCTGGGTTCTGGTGCTTCAGAGGGACGAGCCCCTGCCCACAGATGACCTCGGGGTTCCACCTGTAAGGAGAATGAGGGGCTGGGGCCTTTCTCTAATCACAGCCACTGGTCTGGGGCCAGCCCTTGCTCTGAGGAGGTCCCTGGAGGGCAAGCCCCCCCCCCACCTGTTCTGCCCATGCGGCCACTTGTCTACAGCGGGGTGTTACGTAATCAGCCCCTCCCAGCTCCCACAGCCCAGAGGTCTGGACAGGGCTTCTGTGAGCACCAGTTCACAGCCCGCATCCATTTCACCATCTCAGACCTCAGGTGCGTCTGTGCACGCCGCCGCAGCAGGCCATTCTGAACTCCGAGGCAGGCCCGGGGTTGGCCAGTCCTGGGTCAGGCACCACGAGGTCCCCAGTTAGGGGTGCCGGTGTTCCCAGGGAAGTCCACGCTGGCGAGGGAGTGCATCCACCTGGTCAACCCCGCTGGTGTAAATGACCATAAGACTTGTCCCAGCGTGATGTGGGCAGAGTCGGCAGGTTGCCCTGACATCCCTGGGGCAGGACAGCCCGGTGGGCGCATTCCTGCTCATGCCCGCATGGGTACCAGGCCTCCACCCACTGGTGTACAGGGTGTCCCCACACCCCTGCCCGCCTGGCTCCTCCTTACCCTTCCCCCAGCACCTCCCCAGGTGCCCCCAGCACCCCCTGGGCCCTACCTTCTGTAGACGCCTGCACACCTGCGTGGGCCCTATGGAGGCCTGACAGCAGCCGTGTGTTGTCCTGGGTCGGTGTGAGGAAGTCCCCAGTACGAGGCTGGTGTTCTGAACATACAGGAATCTTTTAGAAACAGGCCGCCTGGCTTCTGTGCAGCTGAGCGCCCTGGCCGGGTGCTGAGCTCTGGCACAGGATGAGCTCAGCTGCTTCCCGCCTTGAGCTCGTGATAGGTGGACTCCGGAAGCAGCCTGGCTCATCTTTGAAACTTTGTTTTGGAAAATCATAACTGAAAAGTTACTATTCGGGCTTTTTTTATTTGTTTTTGCACCATAAAAATACGGATTCTTCCCAGCATTCACAGGCACTGTCTTGGGTAGTGCAGAAGTCAGCTTTTCCCCAGCAAGACCGTCCGGAGGGAAGTGCAGGGCTGTGCTGGTGTAAGAGGGAGTGACGGTGTTGGTGCAGGTGTCGTGCACCAGAGCACATTCTGAGTCCCCACCACGCACCATGGAGATGCTGGGGGATGAGAAGTGCCCGCAGGCAGGGAGGGTGCACAGCATCAAGGCATCGCTGAAGGGGCAGGCGGTAGGCGCGAGCTTGGCCGAGGCTTGGCCAGGGCAGGTCGGCATCTGTCCTGCGCCCACCTCCTAGAGGACATCACTGGAAGGGCCGTCATGAACACCGTGCAGAAGGGGATGTGAGCAGCCAGGAGATGTGGCGGGGAGGAGACTGAGCCAGGGACCCTCTGATGTCACTGGGAGAAACCAGGAAAAGGCCAAGGAGGCTGGGGCTGCAGAGTGAGGGCCCTGTTGGGGCCATGGCCATCCGTGTCAGGGCACTCAGGGGTCACGCTGACAGGCCCTCTATTGCTCTGAGGTCGGGGGACAGGGGCAGAGGAATGTCCTGTCTCTGTCGACATGGTGTGCTGGAGTCCAGGGAGGCAGCCAGGGAGAGTGGCCTGGGATGATTCCTCTGGGGTCTTTATTTAATTTTGGCACCAGAGATTGAACCCAGGGGTGCTTAACCACTGAGCCACGTCCCCGGCCCTGTCTATTTTTTTATTTTGAGACAGGATCTTGATAAGTTGATTAGGACCTCGCTAAGTTGCTGAGGCTGGCTTTGAACTTGTGGTCCTCCTGCCTCAGCCTCCCAAGCTGCTGGGATTAGAGGCATGGGCCACTGCACCTAGCTCCTGGGTCTTGGTGCCATGTTTCAGGGACAGCTCTGTGGACTCTCGTGAAGGATGACAGCCCAGATGGGGACTCTGCCTGTGCCTTCTTCAAAGTAGCTGGGAAGCCAACACTTGGCATCGGTCGAGGCCAGCCCAGCCTGTGCTCCAGTGCAGGCTCCACCAGCGCCTGGCAGGGGCCGTGGGATGCCAGAGGGGCAAGCAGGTGAAGCAGCCTCTCCTGCCCGGGCGCTGGCCACCAGCGAGATCCGCACTTACGTAACGCTCTGCGACTATGGGCTATTCTTAGCCATCCGGGCTGCCTCACAAGCCAAGCTTTCCCTAGTCTGCAGTGTTCTCTTTTCTTTTTTGCATGCCTCGGAATAGAAATAGACGACTCTGGCAGAGCAAATCCTTGTTCCTAAAATCAGACTCCCTGTGCTTCTGTCAGGAGCAGAGCATTGTCCATCTGACCACATATTGGAGACTGACTGGGTGCTGCCCGTAACAGGGTCCTGCACAGGTTGCCTGTCACAGGAAGGGCAGGTGGAGCGACAAGACCCAGAGCAGAGGACCTGGGCGCCCCCTGTCCGTCAAGCCTTGGTTGGAAGTTCAGACAGTCCTGGGATGAGAATCTGACTCTCTCCTGCTGTACTGGTGGGGCCCTTCTGGATTCTGTGGTGGATGCACACATTAATACCTAGAGCCAGCCTGATTCAAATGGAACCTGTGCCCGAGGGGGTGCCAAGAAATTGGGTCTAAGGAGGTTTGTTGTCTGCCTGAGCCAGAGCTGTCTTGCTGCAGTGCCCTCTGGGTGCGTTCAGGGTGCCCAGGAAGCATCCAGGGGACCAGGACCTCTAGGTCATCTAGCAAGCAGCACACTGGGCGAGGTGCCCTGGTACTGACCGCCACGTTGACCCTGCGGGTGCCCGTCACCAGGCTCCAAGGAGAGTGGCAGCAGGGATAGGAGCACCCTGGGGGAGGAGCCTGAGTGGGCAACACGAGGGCTTCTCAGCAGAGTGGACTGGCTGGGAGCCCAGCAGGAAGGCAGTGCTGTCCCACAGGGGGTGGGCCCCTCCAGGGCACGAAGGGAGGCACAGGCAGCAAGGGTGGCAGTCAGTGGCTCCAGGGGCACCGAGGAGGAGGCCTCCCTGAGGAGGGAAAGCCATGTCTGGAGGTCAGGGAGCTGAACCAACTCTGCAGGACCCAGTCATGACCAACAGTGGCCAGGTGACCGCCACATGGGCGTCATGGTGGGAGGGACTGGCACTTCCTAGGCACACACCCTGCTGTGAGACGCTGCTGACTCACCACTTGGGCTTCGGGGACCAAGGGGCCTTCCATCAGGCTGGAGGGCTGTGACCTCCCCATCACAAGGCCCCAGCTCGTCCCCTGAAGTGGCGGCCCCAGTGGTCGTGCTGGTCCATGCAGAATATTCCGGAAGGCAAGGTGGGCAGGAAGGTCTCTCTAGTGTGAAGGGGATTCTTCTTTGGAAGACTGTGCCCTTCCACTTAGTTTCTTCCTAATGACATCTGTCACTGCCTTAACAAGACGTGACAAGTGGGAGGTCTCGGGCACCCCCTTTCCACCCTCTTCCCTGGACTCTGGCCCCCGAGGTCTTAGCCACGGCTCCCGCCACCCTGCTCCATGGGACTCATGCCCTGTATGTTCCAAAATCGCTGAAAGAACAGTTTAAGATGTGTCTCCAACAAAAGAGAGGACTAGGGTGTTTAGGGTCTGCTAAACGCATTGCCGGGGTCACCCCACGGTGGCGCCTGTTCTGCCTGCCACCTAGCCTGCTGGGGAGCTACTCACCCGGGAGGCCTCCCAGTGCTCCTTTTCCAGCCCCACACATGGACATTAGTCATCTGCTGGCTCATTTTTGTGACACGGAGCTCATTATGCATGTGGGGACTACCTGGTGGCCCGAGTTGGTTACAGGTGGCTAGAGGTCTGGTGAGATGGCCTCCAAGTGCACAGGAGAAGAGAAGCCCACTTAACTCAGCACCTTCTCCCTCAGCTTTCAATCCCAGGAGTTTACAGGTCACTTTGGGGGTGGCCTAGGAACTCCATGCATGCCCATCTTTGGGAGCCGACGTTAGAGCTTTGCCACAGAGACACTGTGTGGGGCCACGGGGGCTCACGGACACTGCGCAGGGCCACGGGGGCTCACGGACACTGCGCGGGGCCACGGGGGCTCACGGACACTGCGCAGGGCCACGGGGGCTCACGGACACTGCGCAGGGCCACGGGGGCTCACGGACACTGCGCAGGGCCACGGGGGCTCACGGACACTGCGCGGGGCCACGGTGCCCACCCACAGCTCACACTCCCCCTGGCCGTCAGCGTCAGTTCCCCTGCACACTCAGCTGTGTGTCCCCCCATGCCGATGTAGGGCCGTGTGGCCGGTGTAGCCACAGACACTCAGGAAATTCACATGGACCATGGTGACAGTGGCATGGTCAGCAGGCACAGAAGGGCAGTGACCACAGTGCTGCTGTCAGTAGGCTCCCTTGCCTGCCCTCCTGGGGACTCAGGCCAAGGGGTCTCATTGTGGCCCTGCTGACGCTGGCCTCGTGCGAGCATGTCATGCAGACCTCCAGCACCAGGTGGGGCGCCCAGGAATGGACGGCCGGGCCCATTTCCACCCAGCAAGCTGCTCCGAGTCAGACCCACAGGTCTTTGTTAACGCTGAGGCCCAGACTTTCAAAGGTGTGTTTTTAAACTCGTTATTTTTGGGTACAATGAGAAATGTAACTGGTTAGGTTTCAGGTGCCATATTTGAAATTAAATATATAACATAAATGTGGCTTTGAGCCCTAAGAAAAGTAGGGTGCTTGCTTGTTTCTGTGTTCACAGGGACTAAACGTGCTCTACCACTAAGTTACATCCCACCCTGTCATTCTTTATCTTGAGTCAGGGGCTCACAAGTGCCCAGGCTGGCCTGCAGCTTGGAACCCTCCTGCCTCAGCCTCCCGTGGTGCTGGGATCATGGGTGTGCCCGCAACATCTGGCTTGGCCAGGACGTCTAAACAGTCTTCCCACAGCAGGGTCTCTGGTTTCCGAGCCTAAGCCTTGAAGGCCTGGGGTGCTCTCGTTCCGTCAGTCTCTAGAACGTTGGGAACCCAGTCAGCAGCTATTCTAGCTCCTCGTTGGCTCTTCCGGCCCTCACCTCCTGTACCCGTCCCAAGTCCATCAGGATCAGCCCCAGAGAATGGACACTGTTTTCATGTTGGGTGGAAACCCGTGGCCACTCTAAGACGACTCGATGGTCAAGTAACTCACTGCGCCATTGCCCGTGGCTTTGGCACCCCATACTCCGCTCAGTTCTGTTTCTGTGTTGTGATTCTCGGCCCCTTCTCCAGCTGTAATACAAATGGGTGGTCCAAGTCGCTGGCACATGCAAGTGCATCTGTGTGGTCCAGTGGGGTCAGCTGCACAGTGACAGGCCTGGTTTAGTGCCGAGTCACGTGCCACGGGGAGAGCCCAACCACTTGAGTAGCTCTGGCCAGGAGGCAGGACACCTGCAGTACAGCCTCTGGTCCTCGTGGCTCTGTGACCTCCTCGTCCAGGTCGCTGCAGGGTCTCAAAGGGCACTGCAAAAGCCGGCGTCCTGAGAGAGGTGTTGTCGGTCATTCACTTCTGACCTGCTGCTAGACTCGGGCTCACAGGCCCAGAGCTCTGTCCCTCCGGCCAGTGTGGCCGGGCCACCAGCGTTGGCCCAAATGTCTAGTGTGGCCCGGCCCAGGGTCAGCTTTAGTGGTGAGTTGGGTCCTCGCCCGTCTCAGTGTCCTCCATGTTCAGGCCTCAGGGTTGTGCGCTCTTTCCCACCTCTTTGTTCTGCGAGTCTCTTGCCTGGTCATCCAGAGAGCAGACTCTGCCCTTCAGAGATTCCCTGTGGGCCTGGGTCTCCCTGGATCTCAGCACCTGGACCTGGTCCAGCATCTAGGACAGGCTCCCTGTGCGTCCAGCATGGCTGTGCCGCTGTGTCTCACTCTGCCAGGCACCGGCCAGACTATGTGTCCAAGTGTGACACGGCAGACCCACTTAATCCCCATTTCCAGGTGGAGAAACTGAGGCACAGAAAGTAAAGCGATGTCCCCAAAGTGACACGCCTCGTGTGTGACCAGGCACACTGACCACTCAGGGGTGTGCTCGCTGGGGTGTAGTCGGTCTTATTTCTGTGTTAGGTGGTGAGTGTCTATTCTCTGTAGCTGTTTTTTGACTCGTTTTCCCCCAGTTTCCTGGATTGTTGTAGCAAAGTGCTACAGACTGATGGCTCACTCAGAAGTCCACTCTCTGTCGTCTGGAGGCTGGGGTGTGGGGTCCAGCGGCACAGAGCTGGCTCCAGGGAGCGTGTCCAGGCTCCCTCTAGTGGCCACGGGGTGGCCAGCAGCCCTGAGGTTCCTCGCCCACAGGAGCGTCTCTACTGTCCGCCTCCATCTTCACAGGCTCAACCTGTGTGTGTCCAGCTCCCTTCCTCTGCACACAGTCACGCTGCTCCGGCTCCCCAGTGACCGCTTGCCTCTGGGAAGACCCCACCTCTGCAAGGCTGGGCCTGGAGACACCCCGTGACACTGTAGCCGTCCTGACTCTTCAGTCATGACCAGCATACCCGAGCCCCCCATGGTCAGCTGCACGTGTAGGTGGGACCCTGTGGCCGCAGCTATCCACAGAGATGGCCCAGGCCCTTCTCCTGTCCCGCAGGCCTCTTTCCCAGCAAACCTGCAGCTGGTCCTTGTTCTCCGCCCGACGGGGTTTTTCCAGCGGACTCTCTCCGAAATCGCCTTCAAGTTCAATAGAGATGACTTTAAGATGAAGGTGCCGGTGAGTACCCAGGACCCCGTGCTGTCAGGAGCCCTGTGGCCTGGCTCCTCCTCCAGCTGCCCCCACCCGGGCCTCAGGTCCCCCACTCAGCCAGGGCCTTGGCTGGGCCACCTGGAGAGCCTCCCTGGAGAGCAGCTAGAAATAGGACGTCCAACTCGTAGCCCACGAGCTAGGAACACAGCCCAGGTTCTGCCAGCGCCCGGGAAGAGGGCTGGGGTAAAGGGTGCCAGTGTCCCCCAGGGAGCCCAGGCTCCCCGCGCCTGCACCAGCCCAGCAGACATCCCCGAGTCACCCTTGTGCCGCCCACAAAGGGGACACTGAAGCACTGCTGGCCGCCCTCTCAACACAGGCGCTGGGGAGTCCTGGAGACCTGTGCGTCCTGGAGGCCTGGTGGTCAGCCACTCAGTGCACTCCCTGCGGGCAGCTGTCCAGGGCCGCTGGACAGCAGCCCTGTGAACGCACTTCTTTCACAAACAGAGCAAGGGTCAGGGGCTAGGCCAGGCCCTGCAGAATACCCCAGGAATGCCACCCAGATGGCTTCAGGGAAGTGAGGAACCCAGGCAGTGGGGCACTGGGACAAGACCCCGCTGTTCCAGGGCCACAGGCAGAGATGCTGCTCCGTCCCAGCCTACTAGCCCCTGCTGCCCCTCACATGCTGCTCCCTGGCCGTCCTCTGCTCTGGACAAGCAAGAGCCCTTCTCTAAGCAGAATGAGGAGTGTGGGGCCTGAACCCTCCGGTCCCCATCTGTGTGCCTGGCCCTACCCGCCTCCACAGTGGTCCTCCCTGAGGATCACCCATGCCCAGAGGCTGTCGTGGACCAGTGGAGGGACAGGCCGTCATTCTGCAAAGCCCGAGGCCCAGTGAGGCTGCATGGGTCTGGGTGGGCCAAGCCGTGGGGCCTGGGAGCAGCGGGCTCCGTCTGAAGTGTTGGGGACCTGCTTCCTGAGCTGATGAAGAGCAGAACCGCAGGTGGTGCCTCTGGCCCAGTCGGGGCAGGCCACCTGTCTGTGGCCTTGTGATGCATATCACCGAGGGCGGCCGCTTCCCTACGTGGGGCAAGTGAACCATGGTGACAGCAGACTGCGCCCTGGGATGTGTCACAGGAGCCAGACCGGGGGCCTGCCGTCCCTGTTGGGCTGCTCTGCCGACTGGCACCTCCTGTGTGTTAGCAGGTTGTCAGGACCGGCCCATGGAAACCATCCCTGGCATCTGCAAGCTCCCAGGCCCTCTTTAGATGGGTCTTTGGAATTGTAGCAAGGGCGTCTGAAGGACGCGGACCTGCGAATGCCGGGTCTGCTGCAGGGCTGTGTATGGAGAGACTCAGCCCAGCCGCGGGCTCCTCTCCCCTCGTGGTTGAAAACACACAATTCCTGGACAGGACGTTACTGAGAGGCAGAAGTCGTGGAGGAGGGGACCGTGTCCCCCAGCTGCCCGGTCTGTCTGGAAGGCGACCATGTCCCTGGGCTGCCCAGTCTGTCTGGCATGCCAGCCCTGAGCCAGGGTTATCTGGCAGCAAGTGAATAATTTCATTAGAAGAACAAAGAGAGAAACGTGAGCTCCACTGAGAACTGTTTCTAGGCGAAGCTGGGACTCGAGTGCATTTGTAGCAGCCACAGGCCCAGACAGGGTCCTCCACGTGGCACCCCCCAGCCCGTCTCTGCAGTGCAGCTCCGCTGTGGCCACCCTGTGCCACCTGGGCCTCCGCAGCACCCCGCCCTCACCTGCCCCATGCCAGTGGCACTTCCCCTCTGTAGCAACCCTAAGTGTCTCCAGGCTCCTCAGATGTCCCTGCGAGCAAATGGACCCCAGACAAGAGCCCCCTCCAGCCAGTGCAGTGGCTTAATAATACATGACGAGGTGTCCACTGACATGTCAGCTGAGCCTCCGCAGGCCTGGCCTGTGGTGCCCATCTGCCAGCTTACAAAGCCCAGTTGACATTTCCCTCTGAAACGCGTGGACTGGAGGACCTGAGAAAGGGAAGAGGCACAGAGGGAAGTCAGACAAGCCGCGCCGAGGAGTCCACTCGGCCGTTGAGCCACAGGTTCCCACGGAAGGGGAGCTCGGGGGCTGTCAGTCACTCCCCAGTGTGGTAGCCCACTCTGGGGCTACGTTGATCCCCGTCAGCTCCCATCAGGACCTCGTGGTGTATCCAGCAGAAGAGGGACGAAGGTTTCCTTCTCTGCATGAGAGCGCTGCTGGCTGGCATGCCGAGTGTCCCTTGCAAGACACCCATCACATGTCATTGTCCCTGCCTGCCAGGCTCTCTGTTGAGCCTCTGCGTGTTCCTCAGCGGCACCTGGTCAGACCCATCACTGGGTGCCCACTTTGCAGATGAGGAGGTGGAGACAGAGGGAGTAAGCAGCTCACCCGGTCAGCCAGCTGCAGGGTGGAGCTGGGATCAGACCCCGGCTTCTCTCCTGCATGGCCGTTCGCCACCAGCCGGGCCGTGGCCGCGGCCTCCAGGGCAAGTGGCCGCCGCCCCGGTATGCAGGGTGTTCTCCTCATGGGCTTCTGTGTCCTCCAGGTCATAATGCTGAGCTCAGTGCCAGAACTGCACGGCTACATCGACAAGTCTCAGCTGACCGAGGACCTCGGAGGCACCCTGGACTACTGCCACTCCAGGTGGCTGTGCCACCGCACGGTGAGTGGGTCTGGGGCCTCTGGGGGCTGCGTCCTTGCCGACCCACAGCTAACCCAGCAGAGCTGCCTTTTTCAAAAACACATTCCCATTTCCAAGTTTTCTTCCCTGAGAATGAGGAGATGGTCTCAGTGGACCTTAGTCATCATGAAGAAACGGCATGAGTAATAAGTTTGGGAGTGGCTTTATCTGGGCTTGGAGACAAAAGAAGACAGAGAGTCCCAAACCGTGCGTTGTGTATTGTGACTCTCACACTTCTCTCCACAAGGAGGGGGTAGGCAGGGAGCCCTGCAGCACGGGATGACTCTAGGGGGTGCCCGTGCTTGTAGGGCCTGCCCGGTACGTTTCTGAGGACTCGCAGGAGGGCGCTTGCTGGCCCAGGTGCCTCTGCGGGCTCTCCCCTTCTGAGGGTGGTCAGGTGTCTGCTTTCAGAGCGTAGCGGCAGGTCTCCCTGACCTGTTCTCCCTCCTCCCAGGCGATCGAGAGCTTCGCGCTCATGGTGAAGCAGACGGCTCAGATGCTGCAGTCCTTCGGGACTGAGCTGGCGGAAACAGAACTGCCCAATGACGTCCAGTCGACCAGCTCAGTGCTCAGCACCCACACCGAGAAGAAGGACAAGGCGAAGGTACTCTAGCACGGGGGCTGAGGTCAGACCACGCAGCCCTCCTCCCATGGACGTGGGGTGTGGGGCAGCTCAGGCAGACCAAGGCGCGAGGGCTCTGGGTCCTCCCGGCACCAGGGAGTGCCAATCACACCCTCCCAAGCAGCCCAAGCACAGGCCACGCATGTGGTCACGGTGGGGGGCAGGGGGGGAGGCTGTGCATCCGCTCCTGTCCAGCAGGGGCCATGAACCCCGAGTCCCAGCAAGGACAGGTTGGAGGCAGGCCGCTGCGTCTCCAGTCCTCTGCCGGAGGGTACACCAGGCAGGATTCCTGCCCAGCTCCCTCACCAGCAGCCACTGGGCGGTGGAGACAGAGGGAGTGAGCCACTCTCTAAAGTGCCCGGCTCTCGCGTGCCACTTGGCTTTCTGGGGTGAATACATCCTGCGTCACTTGCGCCCTGGGCAGTGTCAGGTTGACAGCTCTGAAACAACAGTGCTGATGGCTGTGACCTGCTGTGTCCACGGGCTGCACCCATCTCTGCCAAGTGGACTGCCATTCCCAGCCCGGCCTTGTGCCCCGCATAGCAAGGCGGCCGTGGAGACGGAGGGCAGGGGCCAGGTTTCAGTTACCTTCCCGTTCCCTGACGCCCAGGGACCTGCAACCCTACCCGTGCCAGCAGGCGTGCGAGTCAGCCCCGCCTCCCTCCTGCCCGGGTGTGAGTGGGACTTGGGAGCAGCAACGGCAGAAGGGAGGGATTTGTCCGCCGTGCAGGACGCCCAGGTCTGCTGGCTTCGGGCCTGCGCTGAGTGCCCCCTGCGGGCTGCAGTGTGAGGCTGCCTCCCCCACAGGAAGACCTGCAGCTGGCCCTGAAGGAGGGGCAGCGCATCCTCGAGAGCCTCAGAGAGCCCCTGGCTGAGAGCACCGCACACAGCGTCAACCAGGACCAGCTGGACAGCCAGGCCACTGTGCAGAGGTGAGGCCCGGCACCCTCCCCTGCCCTGCCAGGCCCGGGCAGCAGAGCCCACACAGCCTCCCTGGACCTAAGAGCCCGGGGTGGACCCCATACCCTCCTGTGGCTGGGAGAGACCCTGGAGGGGCCTAGGAACAGTGCCTGAGGCTTCCCCACCCCACAGCCCGGGCCTCGAGCTCAGCCTCTGGTGAAACGGGCATCTTCACTGCAGAGGGTAGAACCTGTGCGTTTCCCTGGGTCTCAGCCTGGGGACAGGGCAGGGCAGTGCACCCCACCGTG